ATACTTGATGTGGGCTTTGTTCCCTTATTTGTTGATGATGGTGAGGCTAGTGAGGTACATGACTGAGTGAGGCCGAGGGCCTGTTTGTGAGGATATTGATACCATAGCGCGTGAGTTGTCCGCGTAGCACGTGAGTTGACCGTGCGGGTCCAGGTATTGATACCATAGCGCGTGAGTTGTTCGCGTAGTACGTGAGTTGACCGTGCGGATCCAGGTATTGATATGGTAGCACGTGAGTTGTCCGTGCTTAGCGCTTGGGCTTTGGGAGCCCCTCCGGAGTCTGTACACACCCCCAGTGAGCGTAGAGTGTTGAGAGTGTTGAGTGTATTGAGTGTTGAGTGTTGAGTGTTGAGTGCGAGTGCTGAGTGATGGAGTGACATTGTTGTGAGGTTGCATTTACTTTTGCTGTTGCTGCATTTATCTGTTAAATTTTTTTGTGGCATTTACTCAGTTATGGAATTTACCTGTTTATTCCTGTTATTTTTAAAATTGTGAAAATTAAGTAATTCGACTATTTTGCTCAGCTCGTCACTACTGCTGAGTTCCTTAGTTATTTTTGGTACTACTGAGGTGGTTGTACTCATACTACACCCTGCACTTGATGTGCAGATCCAGGTGAGTTAGAACGCAGCGATCGTTGAGTTCAGGCCGGCTTTAATTGGAGACTGCAAGGTAGCTGCCAGCGTCCGCAGGACCTTGTTACTCCTTTTATCATTTCTTCTTTGGATAGTTAGACAGCTTATATATCTCAGTTCATAGTTTTAGACGCTCATGACTTAGTGACACCCCGATGTTTGGGACTCGTTTTCGTATTTTATATTATTTATATTTAGAGTTGGTTTAGTTTATCAATTAAATTATTGGAAATATTTTATTAAATTCTTATAATCAAATTAGTAGTAATATTTTGGGAATAGGCCTGCCTTGTAACACGATAGGCGCCATCACGACCAATGTTAGATTTTGGGTCGTGACAGTATAAGTAGCAATAAAACTACAAGTAGAAGAAAAGATCCCTATTACCATACGATACCAATATGGTATACATGTATACCAACAGAGAATATCATTGATCTGGGATATTGCTACAACTACCCATGACTAAAATACTGTACAAAAAATATTAAAAAATGCAATAAAAGAATGAGAAAATTAAAAGTATAAGTAGCAGAAATGGTCCCTATTACCATATGATACCAATATGGTATACATGTATACCAACAGAGGATATCATTGATCTGGGATATTGTTACAACTACCCGTGACTAAACTCCTGTACCAAAATATTAAGAGAGGCAATAAAACTATGAAAAAATTACCTGCTCGCGTTGCAAGCTAGACATTCGCAAAGTAACTCGCTCATTCGGTATTTGATCCATGACTACCCAATTCAAATTCGTGGAAGTTTGTTTCCAATATGATCAGCAAAGTGACCATGCAAACTTGGGCAGCATTCATACAACCAAATCTGTAAAGTCAACGGGAAGCCGCCGAGTCTATAAAAAGAAGGCTTATCTTGAAACTTGTTGGAACACGAGTCGATTGTAGCGTTATAAACATCTATACCCCAGGGATAATTATTAAAATCACCGCACTCAACCAAGTCAATGTAAGACCGTGAAATAACCTTTGTTTTGAGTTGAGAAAGTAAGAAGCTGTTCACAAAATAAAGAACTGCTATCTTCAACGCATCATCATTTGTTTCCCATTTCTGCTTCATAAAACAGTCTGTTAGCTGGGCCAATGTCACGGATGCAGTCCCAAAATATTTTGAAATCAACCTATTCTCTGTTATTCTCTCTATACTTGTATCATCCTTACATTTCAGTCCAGTAACAAGTGCAAATTCACCCAAACCAAAGTGCAACCTAGAATCATTCACTACAAACCGCATCTCATTTTTTACCTCACGATGTACTTCTCTAATAAGCAAATGGTGCATAACCCGAATCTGCACAATAAGTGGTGGCAGATTCAAAAAATAGCCAAAGCATGTTTTCTTAAACAGTCGAAGTTGCCTCTTTGATAAATTCTCTTTCAATTGACGAATAACATGGCAGTTGGTATCCCAATCAACCTTTGGTTTATAATATAAGTCCATAGGCACAAGGAAATCCCAACACTGCAAAGCATGTTCATATAAAATAACTTCAGAAATAGAATTCACTTGAAAATGCAACTAAACCAACCAAAAATGTTACAACTACCATACGATATCAACACGTCATATAACTAAGCCAGCAGGGTATACAATTCTACTGGCTAATTTCCGGCAACTATAAATGACTATACTACTATTACATAACAGATAGGAATAAAGAGAAAAAGCAAAAAGGTATGCAGCTATAAAGTATTTTCAAGATACTGTACGATACTGCTATTATTAAAGAAAAAACAAATAGCGAAGACAGCCAAAAAAGGATCAGAAGCATATGATAGTATGTAGCTATACTAACAGGGTAAATAGTTGTACGGGGTTGTTCCAACAACTGTCTATAACTATAAAAACTATCACATAACACACATAGAATTCACTTAAAATTATTTAAGAAATAGAATTCACTTAAAATTAACACAACTGACTATGACTATAATATAATACAAAAGCATAGCAGGAAATTAAAAAATAACAGTGTACTATACATTCAAAATCTCACAGATCATAATTTTAAGAAAATTACCTTTTTGGGCGTGACACCAATTTTTTTCTTCTTTAACTGAGAATCATCGCTACAATCAACATCTACTGGTTGAGTCTCTGTTTTAGGCACGGATTCACGTCGGCTTCCCCCTAACTCAGAATCCTCAACAACTTTACCTTTTCCCTTATTAGTCACAGGAACACCTCCTATGACTGGTTCGGAATTTGTGTCGGGTAATGACTGGTAGGGAGTTTTATCGACTGACGAAGCATTAATATTGTTTTCATTTCCACCCTCTAATTCTACATTTTCAGTTGTGTTTTCAACACGACTACTGCTAGGGTTACGACTAAACAAAGACTGAGAATCAGAAAATAAGGGAAAACTAGGACCGGACGTGGTTGAGGCAACAGATTCAGTAGCTACTTGTGTTGAAGAATGATGTTGTCCACGGCGCCACCATCTTCGCGCACAATGCTTCCGACTCATAGAGAAAACAACAACCCAAGACATTGATTCACAAAAGTACAAAGAAAAACACAAAAATCCTATGATTTTGAAAATCCACTTTCACTAAAATGTACTTTCAGAAGCAAAATTTCACCCAAAAATAGGTACTAGACGAAGAGATAGAACGGAATCGGAAGAAAAAAATTAAAAACTCGAATGTGAGTGAAATTTGCGTTCTCATGGGTTGGCTATGGAGATTTGGAAACTGTTCTCTAGTCTAGTATTAACTGTTAAAGGACGAAGACAAGCGTGGGTAGCTTGGGCCGGGTGAACGAAGATAAGGCTTTAAGACAATGGGTAGCTTGGGCCGCATGAAATATGTGGGCCGGGTAAATAAATTGGGCTGAATGGGTAGGAATAGTAAATAGTTTGGGCATGGGTATTAAAAGGTAAATAGTTTCGGCTTAATAGGTATAATGTGAGATTTTCTCGTGTTTTTTTCGACGAGAAGGGTTCGGAGCCCCTCTAGCTATGCGCCTAATATATCGAGCGGAAAAGGGCCAAAAATGCCCCAAACGTTATATTTTGACTCATTTTTACCTTTATGCCTAACGATCAACTTGAATTAAAAAAAGGTTTTATTTTGAAATTATACGTGTCATGTTATTACGGGTCTAATTCAATTAAATAAATGAAAAGGTGCCAAAATTGTCCTGAGCTATTGGTCAGGGCTAAATATATCTTTTATCTATTTATCGGTTCAAGAAATCCCAAGAAAATACCCAGTTTTCTAACTTATCCGACCCAAACACTAACCCACCCAGAAAACATAAAATCTCGACTATTTTTATTTTACTTTCTCCCTCTTTTTATTCTTTTTAATATTAAGACCTAATACTTTTTCGTGAACATCCAAATGGTCAAATTAGCCCGAAATTGATATGGTTATATTGGTCATTGACTGACCATTAATTATTGGACATCCGATCCTTCACAAACCAAAAAATCAAATTACGCATATTCATTGCTCCTAATAGTCAACATTAATTTCTTGTGGGTAATTTCAATTTGAGGCCAATATTTTTCCTAGAATGCCAGTTCTCACTGCTTTATTCTTTTATGAAAATTGAACAAAACCTGATTTTATTTCTAATTAGAAGACCTATGAAAGAATCATGATATTTAGCCTGCTTTCATTTATGATGTTTATTTGCTTTCGTTGTTAACATATTGTATTCTATAAATTTTCTGTATGTGTATAGATCTATTTATATATGCACAATGTATTATTATATTGTTGGTAAAAGATAACCAAAAAAAAAAGTTCTTTCTTTGTGATTCTTATAAATTAGCAAAAAAAATTACTTATTTAATTGAATTGGACCAGTAATAAAATGACACATGAAATTTAAATAATTTTGTTTTAATTCAAGTCAACCGTTAGTCATAAGGACAGAAAGCCGCAAAAATAATGTTGGGGGCATTTTTAGATCGATAAATGAACGAAAGGTATATTTAGCCCTTCGCCAATAATTCAGGGACACTTTGGCCCTTTTCCATATATAGAGAGGTGGGGGAGGGGTGGAATGACTTAGTGGGCATGCATAAATTAGAAAAATATGACCCTTCCAATATGATTGATTGACCACAAAATCATTTCAATATGGAATATTTACCAATCAATCACAACGTGCCACTTGCTAGAAATCCTCAGTGCTCCTTGATTGCTAAGTATCTCTAATAATAATAATCGCCAAATACAAAATGTGTTTAACGTTTACAACCTTATCTGTGTCTGGTACATGCATTATTGAAGTACATGCTTACCAATTTCTCAAATAATCAAATTGCATTATCTACTTTTACAAAACCAGCCAAACATGGTTGTTTCTTAACATGTGTATTTAAAGGAGGCTCTGCTTATAGTAGGAAACCACAAGTAGAAATATAGAACAATGGATACAGTAGTACCTCTTCTCCCATTTTCTTGGTTTCTTTTTAGTCTGTCTTTGTTTCTAGGAACCTCAGCACAGAGGTCTACTTACATTGTCCATTTGGACAAGTCTTTTATGCCTAAAATCTTTGCTACTCACCAAAACTGGCATTCCTCCATTATTGATAACATCAAGATTGATGTTCCCACTACTCCAAATGGCCACCATATAACTCCAAAGCTTCTTTATTCTTACGACAATGTAATTCATGGCTTCAGTGCTGTTTTGTCTAAAGATGAACTTGAAGCTCTCAAGAAATCACCAGGTTTTCTTTCAGCTTATAAAGACAGGACTGTTGAAGCTCACACTACTCATACTTCTGAGTTTCTTAAGCTCAATCCTGCTTCTGGTCTATGGCCAGAATCTGGTTTTGGTCAAGATGTTATCATTGGTGTACTTGACTCTGGTATCTGGCCAGAATCTGCCAGTTTCAGGGATGATGGATTGTCTGAAATTCCCAAGAAGTGGAAGGGAATTTGCAAGCCAGGCACAGAGTTCAATTCCTCATTGTGCAACAGGAAACTCATTGGAGCTAATTATTTCAATAAGGGGATTTTGGCTAATGATCCTAGTTTGAATATTTCAATGAATTCAGCCAGAGACACTGATGGTCATGGCACTCATGTTGCTTCCATTGCTTCTGGTAGTTTTGCTGAAGGAGCTTCATATTTTGGATATGCTCCTGGAACAGCAAGAGGTATCGCGCCACGAGCTAGGATAGCTGTGTATAAGTTTAGCTTTGACGAAGGAACCTTTACTTCTGATTTAATTGCTGCTATGGACCAAGCTGTTGCAGATGGTGTCGACATACTGACCATTTCGTATGGATGGTCTAATATTCCCTTGTATAAAGATTCAATTGCAATAGCTTCTTTCGGTGCTATGATGAAGGGTGTCTTAGTCACTGCTTCAGCTGGAAATGATGGTCCTGAAATGGGAACTTTAACCAATGGAGTCCCTTGGATCTTTACTGTGGCATCAGGCAGTACTGACCGATCATTTTCAGGGACTTTAACTCTTGGGAATGGCTTAAAGATTACTGGATTTAGCTTGTTTCCAGTGAGAACCATGATCAAGGATTTTCATTTGGTTAACAATGGAAGTTTATCTACTTGTGATTCATCTGACTTATTATCTCAAGTCCCTAATGCTAAACGTAGCATCATGATTTGTTATAGCACTGCACAAGAAGACTTACCAGTCTCTGATCAAATGGAGGCCATCTCAGAGTCAGGATTTGGAGCCGCAATCTATGTTTATAAAGATCCAGATGTATTAACGTCCAACTATTTTCCGAATCCTGGAGTTGTCATTAGCAGCAAGGAATGGAAACAAGTAACAGATTATGCAATCAAAAGTGTTAAACCTAAAGCCAGCATCAGTTTCCAGGAAACACATATTGATGTAAAGCCTGCTCCAGTCGTTTCTGCATTTTCCTCGAGAGGCCCCTCTAGAAGCTACCTGCGAGTTGCAAAGCCAGATATTATGGCACCAGGAGTGTTAATTTTAGCAGCCTGGCCATCGAACGTTTCAGCTGCAACTGTTGGTGTCAATACAAATTTGTATAGTGATTACCGTCTTCTATCAGGCACTTCCATGGCTACTCCTCACGTTGCTGGAATTGCTGCGATGCTAAAAGGAGTACATCCTGAATGGAGTCCTTCAGCTATTCGCTCTGCCATGATGACCACTGCCAACCCTTTGGATAATACTGAAAAACCCATCAAAACAGCGGATGATAACAAGGATGCTACATCATTAGCCATGGGAGCCGGACTTGTTGATCCAAACCGTGCAGTTGATCCAGGCCTGATATATGATGCCACTCCACAAGACTATGTGAACCTTCTCTGCTCTATGAATTTGACAGTAGAGCAATTCAAAACAATTGCTAGATCATCAGCTAAGCACAACTGCTCAAATCCATCCAATCATATCAATTACCCATCATTTATTGCTCTCTTTAGCCCTTATGGGAACTACACTTGGTTGGAGCAGAAATTCAAGAGGACAGTCACAAATGTTGGAGCTGGTGCAGCTACGTATAAAGTAAAAGTGAAAGCACCGAAAAACTCGACAATTTCTATCTTTCCGCAGACCTTGGTGTTTGAGAAGAAAAATCAGAAGCAGGAGTACACTCTGACCATACGTTACAAGGGCATTGCCGAAGATCAAGCACAATCTGGTTCAATCACTTGGGTGGAAGAGAATGGTCATCACACAGTAAGAAGTCCTATAGTAGTAGCTCCAGAGATTGAAGCCTGGACCTGAAATGCTGCAGTTAACAAAACTGTTGCATTTTTAAGTTTGAAACTCTCTATGAGAGTTATGATAAAGTAGCTGGCAAAGCGCATGTATGTTGGAAGTAACTGTTGAATAACAATCTTTGCCGGAGAATCTAAGGCTGCATAAATTCCGGTGCTAGTATAACTGAAAATCTTAATTCACGCTGTAATAAGCCCCAAGATATGGAAGAAAGGATTATCTTGCACCTATACTTAAGAACTAATGACAATGCTGGATGTGTTTAACCGAAAAGTGAGAAGGAAAGAGCGTCTATAGCATTAGAGCATTGAGTAGACCTTTTGCCTTAGCCAACAAAAGATATGTGAAGAAAATTTTACACGAGGAAATTGTTAGAGATTCTGAATTTATAAGTGACTAAAACAGAAAAAATGAATGAACAGAAATTGGCAGAATTATGTCCCGAGCCCACAAATTCCTTGTGTGTCCTTAAAGAATCTTATCCCCTTACTGTTGCCCAAGGTTAATGGTGCAAATCATACGACGGACTTACTTTGTTTTGAAAATAATGATGTAGAAAGAAGAAGGAGATGAAGCAGAAGATTTCAGGATAAAAAATTCGGAAGGAATGGCTGCTTATTTATAGCCAACGAATTTCTGGATTGAAAGGGTGTGAAAGTGGCTGTTCACACTAAAGGTGGCTATTCGTGAAATGCAACCTCTCTCTGGTGGCCGAAGCAGAAGCCGAGCGAGCGAGCGACGACGACGGCGCGAGGCCCCTTCCTCTTAGCTCCTTTTAAGAGCTTAAGGAAGTGCTTCTATATTTAAACCCAACAAAATTCTTGTCTTTAACCAATGAAGGACAAAGTGCAAAAGCCAAAGTTGCCTTTTCACCTTCTTCCCTCTTTTCCCATTCACACTACCACTTTCAACCCCAACAATCCCCCACATGAATGGGGAATGATGAATATGCATAAAAAAATTTGTGTGATTCGCAACTAAGGACTAATTGCATCGGGATAAGTAGGTTTTCCTTTGAACTTTCCGTAGTGAGCATATATCGGATATACTCGGTCAATCGGTAGATTTGATATCCTTGAACCGTCGAGCTTTAGTGTATACCTAGACAACATATGTCACACAATTAATCCTTATCCATCTTTTGGTTCTCATTGTTGTGTTCGTTTTAGCCATGAACACCGCCTGGTTTCATAAGTGCGTAGAGAATTGGCCTTACAACATTCTCCTTGAAACGGCTTACACTTCACACTTATATAGGTGATTCCTAAACGTGTTATCCCGTAGATACACTATTTGATATACCCCATATCAAACTTAGAAATCATTAAAAAGTCCTAACGCTTTATCCTTGGTACTGAACATTGTCTGCATCACGAGAATGGACCAAAATTTTATTTGACAATGTTGAACCGTCACTAATGACTTTGTTTGATCTCCTTGAACCTAGATCTTGGGATCTCCAGTCTTCTAGGTAGAGTTACCGCCATAGTGACTTGTCCTCGGCCATAGTCCCATTCCCTTTGACGACTTCTCAACTCCCTCTCTAGTTAGGCCTTTTGTAAGCGGATCCGCCACATTATCCTTTGATCTTACATAATCAATAGTAATAATTCCACTAGAGAGTAGTTGTCTAACGGTATTATGCCTTCGTCAAATGTGACGAGATTTTCCGTTATACATAACGCTCCCAGCCCTTCCTATTGTTGCTTGACTGTCGCAATGTATACATACAGGTGCCAAAGGTTTGGGCCAAAAAGGAATGTCTTCTAAGAAATTTCGGAGCCATTCAAGTTCTTCACCGGCCTTGTCTAAAGCTATAAACTCAGACTCCATTGTAGAGCGAGCGATGCATGTCTGTTTGGACGACTTCCAAGACACTGCTCCTCCATCAATGGTAAAAACGTATCCACTTGTGGATTTTGTTTTCGTTGATCCGGTGATCCAATTTGCATCACTATATCCCTCAATAACTGCGGGATAATTATTGTAATGCAATGCATAGTCTTGGGTATATTTCAAATATCCCAAAACTTGTTTCATTGCTATCCAATGATCTTGGTTGGTATTACTTGTGTACCGACTAAGCTTGCTTATTGCACAAGCTATATTAGGTCGTGTACAATTCATAATGTACATCAAACTTCCCAACACTCGAGCATATTCCAATTGAGATTTGCTTTCACCTTTATTCTTTACAAGAAAATGGTTTAAATCAATTGGCATTTTTGCTTCTTTAAAGTCCAATATTTGAACTTTTCAAGAACCATTTTAATATAATGAGATTGAGACAAAGCTAGACCTTGAGGAGTCTGTAGGATCTTAATTCCCAAAATTAAATCGGCAACTCCTAAGTCTTTCATATCAAACTTACTAGTAAGCATGCGCTTAGTAGCATTTATGTTAGCAATATCGTTACTCATTATCAACATATCATCCACACATAAACAAACAATGACTATTTGATTTGGAGTATTCTTAATGTAAACACATTTGTCATACTCATTGATCTTGAAACCATTTGACAACATTGTTTGGTCAAATTTCGCATGCCATTGTTTTGGTGCTTGTTTTAGTCCGTAAAGTGACTTAACAAGTCGACACACCTTCTTTTCTTTTCCGGGAACTACAAACCCTTCAGGTTGTTCCATATAGATTTCTTCCTCTAAATCCCCATTTAAGAAGGTCGTCTTTACATCCATCTGATGGATTTGAAGGCCATACATGGCGGCTAACGCTATTAACACCCGGATAGATGTAATCCTTATTACTGGCGAGTATGTGTCAAAGTAATCAAGACCTTCTCGTTGTCTAAACCCTCTAACAACTAATCTTGCCTTATATTTGTCAATAGTACCATCAGCTTTCATTTTCCTTTTGAAAATCCATTTAGAACCCAAAGGTTTATTTCCCGGAGGAAGATCAACCAATTCCCAGGTATGATTACTTAATATGAATTCTATCTCACTATTGACTGCCTCTTTCCAATATTGTGCTTCCGAGGAAGACATTGCTTCTTTGAACGTTTGAGGCTCATTTTCCAATAAGAATGCCAGAAAATCTGGTCCAAAGGAAGTAGCTATCCTTTGACGTTTACTACGTCTTGAATTTTCCTCATCAAACGTACTTTCCTTTGCTTCCCGAGGTCGCTTAGATTTTTTATTAGACGACTCACATTCCATTTTATACGGATAAATATTCTCAAAAAATTCAGCATTATCCGATTCAATTACCGTATTAATGTGAATGTTAGGATTTTCTGATTTATGAACCAGAAACCGATATGCCTTACTGTTTATTGCATATCCTACGAAAACGCAATCAATGATTTTTGGTCCAATTTTTACCCTTTTGGGTTTAGGAACTTGCACTTTAGCCACCCCCACACTTTAAAATATTTTAAGTTGGGTTTTCTTCCTTTCCATTTTTCATATGGAATGGATTGTGTTTTGCTATGGGGAACTCGATTCAGTATTCGATTAGCTGTAAGAATAGCTTCCCCCCACAAGTTCTGAGGTAAACCAGAACTTATTAATAAGGCGTTCATTATCTCCTTTAACGTTCTATTCTTTCTTTCCGCAATTCCATTAGATTGCGGTGAGTAAGGGGCAGTTGTTTGGTGAATAATGCCATTTTTCAAACATATTTATTCAAAAGGAGATTCATATTCGCCGCCTCTATCACTTATTATCATTTTGATCTTTTTGTTTAATTGCGTTTCAACTTCATTTTTGTATTGCTTGAATGCATCTATTGCTTCATCTTTACTATTAAGTAAGTAAATATAGCAATATCTAGTACTGTCGTCAATAAAAGTTATGAAATACTTTTTCCCACCGCGAGATGGTATTGACTTCATGTCGCAAATATCCGTGTGAATTAAGTCTAAAGGATTTGAATTCCTTTCAACTGACTTATAAGGATGCTTAACATACTTTGATTCCACACATATTTGACATTTTGAGTTATTGCATTCAAACTTAGGTAATACTTCCAAATTAGTCATTTTTCGCAAAGTTTTGAAGTTGACGTGGCCTAAACGTTCATGCCATAAATTATTTGACTCAAGCAAGTAAGAAGAAGCTGAAATTTTATTCATATCAATGGCAATTACATTGAGCTTAAAAAGGCCCTCAGTCAGGTAACCTTTTCCTACATACATTTCATTCTTACTAACTACAACCTTGTCGGAAACAAAAACACACTTAAAGCCATTCTTGACTAGAAGTGATGTCGAGACTAAATTCTTCCGCATTTCAGGAATATGAGGAATATCTTTTAGAGTCACAATCTTTCCCGAAGTCATCTTCAAAGCCACCTTGCCCGTTCCTTCAATTTTTGCAGTAGCGGAGTTTGCCATAAATACTGTCTCGTTGGGTCCAGCGGGAGCATAAGAAGTAAACAACTCCTTTTTAGCACAAACATGTCGAGTTGCTCCTGAATCAATCCACCATTCTCTAGGATTTTCGACTAGGTTGCATTCTGAAAACATAGCACATAGGTCGTCTATTTCATCATTCTTCTCAATCATGTTTGCTTGACTTTTCTTCTTGTCCTTCTTTGGTGCACGACATTCAGTAGCCTTGTGTCCAACCTTTCCACAGTTGTGGAAATTACCTTTGAACCTCTTCTTGCTTGGATAATTCCTTGATCCAGACGGCTTCTTTCTATTTTTACTCGTTGAAGCTTCCTCAACAATATTTGCACCCATTATTGTTGAATTTCCACGAGATTTCTTCTCAGCAGCCTTGTTGTCCTCTTCAATCCGTAGACGAACAATAAGGTCTTCAAGCGTCATCTCCTTGCGCTTATGTTTCAAGTAATTCTTAAAGTCCTTCCACAGCGGAGGCAGCTTTTCAATAAATGCCGCAACTTGAAACGCTTCATTTATGACCATACCTTCAATCATAAATTTATAATTAGTACAATAATTAATATTTTGAATAAAAATATTGACTTGTTTTATACCTTCAGCAAGGAGGTCATGAACAGTAACTTGCAATTCTTGGACTTGCGTTATGACAGATTTACCGTCAATCATTTTGAAATCCAGAAATTTGGCGGCCACAAACTTCTTTAGTCCAGCATCTTCAGTCTTGTACTTCTTTTTAAGAGCATTCCATAATTCTCTTGATGTTTTCATGACGCTATAAACGTTGTACAGGCCATCTTCCAGCCCACTTAAAATGTAATTTTTGCACAGGAAATCAGAGTGCTTCCAAGCCTTAGTAAC